TTCGGCTGCGACGTCTGTGACCGCCACTGGTTCGAGAACAACCAGTGCATTCAACCTATCATTAAACTCCTCCATGACTGATCATGCGAGGCACAACGCGTGGCATGTGAAATAAACACTGTGGTAAACCTAAGACAAACGCGGGTTTATGCTCATTAAGAAACACGAAAACGTAACCATTAATTGTGAAAAGCTTCAGTGCAGCGTTGGGTTGAACCCACAGCTAAACAACGGGGCCACCTTTTTCAGCTTTTGCTGGTTAACCATTTGTACGGAATGCTTGGACGGTGGTACTGTTTTTTTTTTTTTTACAAATGACAAGTACTGGCATCGGCAATAACGTGGTGTGATGTCACTGACTAAACATTTCAAAACTAACACGTCAAGGATGACGAGTCTTCTATGATGAAGATATAGATATGCCTATCGGAAAGCTGATTAGCCTGTGTGAGGCACTTACTCCTGCTCCAATGAGCTTTACACAATGTATATCTTGCAGAGCACAATTAAAGAACTAGGCAGAAACTTCCTTCTGCAAAGCTGCCTTAAAATATTGCTTGAAATATCATATTTATTGGGTTAATGCCGAAATCAAGTGAATGGCTATTTGTGGAGATTCACTTTTTATAAATAAGTCTTAAATCGTCGCTATCACTTGACAAAGCGTGGTCTTATTCTCGGTGCTCGTCGTGAATGTGAAGGTAGCTGGGGCGTACCCTGAAGAACACAATGCCGAGAAGACCCCTGACTTGCTTTTTGGTCAGCGGGGTGTGCCTCTGTGCTGTATTTAAACGTGTCCGACTCTTTTTCGGGTCCTCCTCTTCTTTCTTGGACGGATCATTCTTCTCTTCATCAGCTGCACACGCGACGTACACAGTGTATATTAAGGCACAACAGCTGTATATTAAGGCACAACAGGTGTATTGTGCCCTAATATACACGTACACAGTGTATATTAAGGCACAACAGCTTTAGGCGCATAAAGACGGCTGCTATGAAATTTCTGTTCTTTTTGTTTTACGGTGATCGCATGAACGTAAATGAACACGAGCACTTGAGACCGCGGCATCGTCGTTCCCGTAGAAAGTTTCGTGATGAACACACCGGGCAACACGTCTCACGCGGCGATCACATTCAAATTTTGATTAATTTTCCCTGCTTCTGTTGAAACGAGAAGCGCTTTGCCCGGGGAGATTATCGGCGTGGGTTGTGTAGAAAGCTCTGTGAAGAGTGCAAAACTATTTTTACGCTATGGTATAGCGATGCGTTTATTCTTCATTTTTAATTTTTTTTTGCTTAAAGGGCTGTTGAATTCTTCGCTGTATCGATTGTCATTGTGATTGTTGTATCGGTTGTCGCGTGTAGTTTGATCTATTGTATACATTGCACTACTCCGATGTGTTTTTTTTGAAAATCCCCGCCATCTAACGACCCATGAAAAGCCCCCCGCCCCTCTAATCATAGTACACAAAGAAAAACAAAATAAAATAAATATATTGCTCCCCTCAAACCTTTCCCGCTCTTTTTCAATGAGAAAAAAAATTGTGACGATCCCCCACGGTGATTTAGTGATTGCGATACTAGAATGCCGACCCGCAGGTCACGGGATCGAATCCCGGTCGCGGTATCCACATTTTCGATGGAGGCTAAAACGCGTGACACCCGTGTACATGTTCAAAACAGAGGTAGTGAAAAATTTTGGAGGCCTGTACTACACAATCCCTGATAATCATATCGTGGTGTTGGTAAAGGGGAACTCCAGAATTTTCAACCATACTTAATTTCAAATAGTATTGACAGTCGCGCAACATCTATGGTGGTTCATTTTGCCCAGGCATTTTGCCCAGACGATGAGTCAAAACAGAAACCAACACAGGGAGCTGCTCCGCCCTCCATGATGGGTATCGGATGACGTCATGAGAATCCATCTCATACGACGTCACGAAATCCGCTACACCCGGTTGTGAACATGGCTCATGTGCCTCCTCTGACGCGCGAAAAGCAAGTTGGCGATGTCATCCGACGCGGAACACAGCTGTGCCAGGTCGTCTGAACTTACCAGCGACAAGTTCAGCGATGATTGCAGCTACCATCTGAGGGCGGAAGCATCGCCTTTTGATTTCGACCCCCGGCGCCTAAAGCCTCTGACGTGCACCGAATCGATCTCTTCGTCGCTAAATATTTCAGACCCGTCATCAACGACGAACAACACGCTGTACGGAGCTGACAAAATTGAACTGTGCTCGTCGCCTCGTAGAAGAAAGAACGCGCTGAATCCGTCTGCTGGGAAATGCGGGCTTTTCGAAAAAAAAAAAAAATAGTAGGTGCTTACGTCACATAAACAGGGTGGCCCGCTTTAGCAAATGTAATTCCAGAATCGGCGACCAATTTCAAATTTTTAAAATTTTTTTTAATGTTGTGTGACTTACGGTTGTATAATTTGGCACTTTTCACCACGGTACCGACGACAACACATGTTAAAAGTTTTAATGAAACCGGTGGATATGGAAAAAAAAACGCCGGAGTTGCCCTTTAAACTTCAACAATTATTATTTTTATAAAATTGCAACGTTGCAAGATTTAGCTGTGTGGCAGTATATGAATAGGTGACGCAACATCTTAAACATTAGTTAACAAAATAAAATAGGTCTACTAATGATTTAAAGTCATATGCACATCATAGGACCATATCGTGCACTTCGTTGGAATAAAACTTGCATATCTGCTATATCGGGCCCCTCCACGGTCGGTCTAGTGTGGCTGAGAACTCGGCTGCTGACCCGCAGGTCACGGGATCGAATCCCGGCTGTGGCGATTGCATTTCCGATAGAGGCGAGAATGCTGTAGGCCCGTGTGCTCAGATTTGGGTGCACGTGAAAGAACCTCAGGTGGTCAAAATTTCCGGAGCCCTCCACTATGGCGGCTTTCATAATCATATGGTGGTTTTGGGACGTTAAACCCCACATATCAATCAAAACTGCTATATCGTGAGTGCCGACTTGACGTCGGACCATGAGCTACTCTTTACCAGTGTAGTCAGCGTGCTTGGGAACCCCACGATATGGGCTCAACTAAATTCACACAAACTCGTCGATCTACCTCGCATAACGCTTAGCTCATAGGGCAAAGTCAGGCATACGTTGGTACTCAATGACAGTTTCGCACGAAATCGATTCACACCGTTTGTGGGATCTGCCGGGATATTTCTGAACAAAACGCATCGCTCACGCTATAGGTACACAGGAAGAGGCTGACGACACGATCGTAGTATAGCTCCGCATCGGGCCTGGTTGTTTCATGATTGCGAATGAACTTACGCTGTTTGCCTTCCATTGCTTCACTCAGGGGCGGAAGACACGGTGGACTACGAACCGCTGGCCTTCTTCTTCGTCTTCCTCCAAACCCTGTTCCGCGTTCAAATTTCTCCCGGATATCGCCGCTGGCAGTGGTGATGATGATGATGATCCTGCAAGAAGTATTGGCAGCTACCCACTATAGCATGTGGTCTAAGAATCGGAACGAATAGCGCAATCCGACTAAGAAGAAGGTTGTTGTTATGATGACAAGCCACAAGTATAGCGCGTACCCGTTAAGGTGAATGTGTCATTATTCGGGCGGCGAGAGTACAGCTAACAACAAACTGTTACACTAAGAGCATGAAACGAAGGGAAGAACGAGATGGGTTATTATAACGATCACTGCCTTTCATTTTCGCCTCCATTGAAAACGCTTAACATTTTCACCTCCATCGAAATGACTTGTCAAGTGCCGTTCATATTCCGTGACAATATATAGCTGCCATAAGGCACGTTCCTTTCAGCCCACGTCATAATTACAACTTCCTTCATTGTTCTTTCATAATGTTAACCCTGCTAAATTGCTGAATGAGAGAGTTGACGAATTAGGATACATAAAATATGATTGCGTGATCTGCACAGGCACTTTTATGCACTTGTCCTTGCCATCCAAAGTGCCTCTACATTAAACTACAAGAATAACTTTGCAAGGGGAACATTACAAGGAGGACCTCAAGAACTCGTTCTGCCTCGTGACAAGAAGAAAAAAAACGATCAGTTAAGTTCCAGCTCCTAATTTCCTTTATAATGATTGGGCAAGCTTGATGCCTTCATGTAGCACGCGAGGTATTGTTGGTCAGCTGCCAGCTCCTGAAAAGAGCTCGTGGTACGCGTGATTCCAGCAGGCAACAAAAAGTTCCACACTAGCCGTCATGGCTACGGGCGGCGCTGACACCACCACCACCCCGTTTAAAGGCACATAATTTAAACCCGATACGGTGAATGGTCTTACGACAGCCAACGTAGAACACCGGGCCCGTTATTGCCAGGTAGCAGGTTCGGTCTCTGCCGACTGCAAGTTTTATTTCCGTGCGCTTCACTGTTTTTTGTATTTTAGGTAGTAATTACAATAAATACGTCCCCAATGATTCCCCAGGTTTGATCGTCTGTTAGTCTTCATCAATGTTGTTTCTAACAAAAAGAAAAGAATGCGCCCATAAAATTTCATTTTCATCGTTCCTCACAAGTCACTTCTTTGTAATCAAGAGTTCGACGAGAGTTTTTCTGGTCAGCTATCATGATGAAGATGAAGGTGCGATCATTGACCAAGTCACGGTCAAAACACAGATGTTTCGGCGCCCACATACGTTCCTGGATCACACCTGGTATGATTTCAAAACTCGTACAGATCACGAAACGTCGCTGTGTGGTCATCTGGACTTGATAAACGAGCGCACCTTCATCCCCAGGTGACAATTTTGTATAAAAGATGATGATATATGGTGTTTTTTTTTTTTCGTGAAAGGGTCTCTTCATGGCCAAAGAGCACCAGGTCATAAGACAAGAAGATATGAACAATGATTATATGGTCCGTGGCCGTATAAGAAGAAAATAGTGGATTGAGCATGTAGCTTCGATTAAGAAGTCTGCTAATAGTACCAAAAGTTAAGCAGGCACACAACGCGATAACACCCAGATGCCTCTTTATATTCCCAATGCTGCGGGTGCTATGATGGACCGGGTCCCTGGTGCCCCGCGAGCAACCGCGGCCGCCGCCTCGCTGGCCTCCTTCCTCGTGACGCTCAGGAATATCTGCTCCAGCGACGTGTCGGTGATGAAGAAATCCTGCAGCTTGAACTTCTTCTTGATGCGCGCCATGCGAGTGAACATCTCGCTCCACAATACGCGAACGTGACACAAGCGAAATTCCAGCAGGCCCTGCAGAAAACAGACGAGGCACTCGCTAAGCATTGTCGGCAATCGAATTCCCATCAACCAACAAACAAACAAACCAACGTTGGCAATCGAATTCCCGTTAACAAACAAACAAACAAACAAACAAACAAACAAACAAACAAACAAACAAACAAACAAACAACAGCAGCCACAACAGCAACAACGACGACAACAATAAAACTGAGGCAGAGACTTTTTTCGAACAGGTGCATGCCATGAAAACCTTAGGACAGCGAAGCTCTAAGAGCAAGTGGATTTGATTGGCTGGCGAAATCACGTGGTGTCGCAAATGCGCCTCTAGATTTCAAATACGCGTGCTTACGTATTGCGCTCGTCGTCGTCGTCGTCATCATCATCATCATCATCATTTGGTCTTATTTTATTCGCATGCCCTTCTATTCATATGACCTACATGACACCTACTTCTAATAGCCCTACCAATACGACGGCGGTAAAAGCAACCGCGGGGGTGGAACAGTTGTAAAAGCTTATTATGGGGAAGCGACAGGCAGCTGCTGTGTAAGCATTACATTGAATAACTCCACCTGAGTAGCACAGGGTAACACCAAGCAACACACCTTGCTACAAATCAGATATAAGCCATATAAGTTAGCCAACTCAAGCTATTGTCTTTGGCGAACAGAAGATAAATGCTCAATCGTTTATTATTATTATTATTATTATTATTATTATTATTATTATTATTATTATTATTATTATTATTATTACGAGGTACCCTCTAGCTCCAACCCTGACGTTGTTTTGAATCTTCCTATCAATGTACTACACTCATTAGTTACAAGATATTTGTTTTCACTAGAAAGTACTGTGTTGGCAATGAAGGGCACGTCTTTTTTATTATGCTATATAAAGAGAGGCGGCAGCCAAGATACACAGCGTATGGAGGCCCACCTCGTAGCTGTGCACCAGTTCGGCCTCCTGGAAGTTCTTGCGCACGTCCTCGGCCACCTGGCGCTGATAGAAGAAGTCCTGCTTGCGATCAGGGTACGTCTTGACACTGATGGTGTAGCCCTTGCCGAACTTCTGCTTCAGGTGCACCAAGGAGCCTAGGCACTGAAGTCGACCACCGCCTAGGATTGCAATGCGGTTGCAGAGGAATTCCACGTCCACCAGGCTGCGACGTTTGGCAGTATACGTGCTGTGCCGTTAAAAGGTACTGACACGAAAAATTTCATTTTTTTAAGGTTAGTCTAAAGGCCAAGTCACAAAAGCCTAGAGAATGTATACTCCTGGATGAGTGCAGCACAATGAAAAAAAAAAAAAACATAGCTGACCCACTTTTCCAGAAATCAGTATACCATGGAAGTGAAACCTGTCTTCACAGAAGTAGTTGAGTGTTTATTTTTCGCCGCAAGCATGGCGAAAGAAGGGATGCAACAGCAACAAATTACCAAGTCCCGTGAAGAATAGCAAGCAGCTAGAGACTTGCAGCACGCATCTCATGCAGACAGCAGGCACAAAATTAGCGTACACACGACGAGAGCGGACCAATAATCGCCATAGCTCGACACTTAAAGCACGCTGTTCAAACAGCAAGAAATACGCGTGAAACAAACACACAAGTGTACACTGGACAAGCGCGAACAACTGTCACAATTCGTACTTCGTGTGTGAGCAGCGTGATCCTTACGTAAACGCGGCCGCTACAGCGAGCGAAGTGACCTTCGTGGCCTCTCGAATCACGAGTCTTATAAGCGCGCAGGAGAGACCACGCTCCGTGGAGGCGGTGACCTTTTTACGACCTCTTGAGCAAAGCTTCGTTGTATCCCGTATTTCGGCATATGCAGCAGCCTTCGACTAATGCAAAATCATTACGTTAGCGGAGAAAACAAACATTCTGGTTCGGCGTGTTCTCGAGTCAAAGGCTTGCAGACGACGACATACACGTATAATAATGGAGAAACACAATTAAAACAAGGCACATGTGCGTCGTCCTCACAGACAGGTCAGAGGGTAAGTGCCTGAAAAGTATTTTAGCTGCACATCGATTAGTAGCGACATCTTCAGACACTCCGTCAACTAAGGCGCTCCGTGATTGACTCCGGCAACGCGCAACGGCACGCTGCCAGAGCCTATTGCCGAGGTAATGTTACATATCCACGTTGAATTCAATGGCTACTTGTATGCACTACGTCTGAGTTGAAAAAATGAGCATGATGTCTAAAAGATGCCATGCGCGAAGTGTAAAACACACCACAAACATCTAAACATGCTCGATTGTGCGCGGTGCATTCATATTCATGTATGGTATTCCGCACTATGAGAAATCTACGACAAGTAGATCAGCCTACCTATGCGATGTGAGCACGATGGAGTGCTTGGTGACCTTCTGGAGCGCACTGATGTAGTTGACGATGCGCCTACGGGACGTCGTGGCGATTCCGGCGTACGGCTCGTCCAGCAGGATCAGGCGAGGTATGCCCAGCATCGAGAGGCACAAAGACAGCTTGCGCCTGTTTCCAGCGCTGCATCCCACGCATCAATCAAGACGCTTTACTTGCAGCTAACAATTTGTGGCTGCATGCGTGCGACGTTTTCTTAAATATGTTAATGGGCGCTCACAAAATAGGGTATTTATTTTGTATCAGTGAATAACCGTTTCACGATAGCAAAAGTACACGCTTGTGGCGAGAAACCGAAGGCGCGCGCTTGGCAAGCGGGGAAACGCGCAAAAAGGAAACGCGGGTGGCGACAAGCCTGAAAATTCCGCACCGGTTGCCATGACACCACAGATTTCGATGGCGTCTACTGAGTACTACGCAGTTATCAATCACTAAAATAAGTGCATTGCCTTATAGGCAGCCAGAATCTTAGCGCAGCATGTTACAGGAAATTGAGTTTATCCTATGCGGACAAATGCAAAAAATTGCCCGCAGCTTCCCTCGGGGGAACACTGAGGAGGATGCGGACCATATAATTGGTTAACGGGGTGTTAAAGTGCGACTTACTTGGGTCGATGGCTAAATTGGTTAACGTGGTTGTGAAATGGGGTGTTAAATTGCGACTTACTTGGGTCGATGGCTAAATTGGTTAACGTGGTTGTAGGAGGGGGTGTTAAATGAGTGAACACGTACACACGTATGCGAAAGGGCGGCGCTGGTCGAAGGGACGTCGATCATTGTGTTTGTGGATTCGTTGGAATTCATTTCACCGCGACCTTGGACGTCGACGCGCCGTACAAACCAACCGACGAGCGGCAACTGAGCGAGCGAGCGCCGACCTTGAGTATATATACAGCACGACGGCGCATGCACTGTCAGCTGTTGAATGTTCTCGAAGCGCGACGCCACATGCGCGTCCACTGGAGAATCAGGAGAATTGTAGATGTCGAACGCGGTGTGTAGAGGAGGAAGGGTGCACAGATGGTGGAGGAGTGAAGCGCGCGCGGTGTGTAGAGGAGGAAGGGATGCACAGATGGTGGAAGAGTGGGCGACGGCGCGACGGCGCATGCGCGCGCGTCAGCTGTCGAATGTTCGAGAAGCGGTGTGGACGGCGCGGACGACGCGGACGGCGCACTACAAGGCGCGAGTATAAGATGCTCCGCATCTAAAAAAAGTAAAATTTGCGACGTCAACATCAGATATCTCGGTGGAAAATTTAAAAGTGAAGCATGTGACATTGTACTTCTCTTGTATAATTAAAAAAGTAAGTCGGTGACACTAGCAACACTATAGTTTAAAGGGCGTAATTTGTCAGTCTTAAATAATTTCTTCTCTCATTTTTTTCTTCAAATAAATGGCTGAAGCTTTTCGCGTGTCATATGTGACTTGGATATATCAAATAAGGCATTTTTCAAAGTCACAGGAAGCTTGGAGGGATTTTTTTCAAGATCTTTCATCTATTCTGGATGAATATGTCAGTTTATATAACAAAAAATTCCCCGCTATCTACAGACAATACGTAGGCTCCACTGAATAAAAAATGGCGTTCCTTATTTTATGTTAATTAAAATCAGGCATACATACCTTTATGACAAACGGAAGACAAAAAAAAAAGGGTTGCTTATTCGTGTGTTTCAGGATGTAGGAGCGCAGTTTGGCTGTTTTTCTGTAGTCACGAACTCATTGTTAAGCTTTCGAGCCTTAAATATATCAGAACAGTTCTACGTTAAGCCTCAAAATTTCTTCTAATGTTTAACCTAAAATGTCCTAATTTCTGGTGGACTCTTCACATTTCCCCGGTAATGGCAGCGGGCGTTTTGTTAATTGCGTTGCGTACAAGTTCTTATTCGCAGTATTGTCTTGCCATACAGTAACGCAATTGCGTTGCGTATAAGTTCTTATTCGCAGTATTGTCTTACCATACAATAACGCAATTGCTTTGCGTATAAGTTCTTATTCGCAGTAATGTCTTGCCATACAGTAACGCACCTGTACGTGGATACGAGCTGCTCTCCGATTTCGTCCAGGTGGAAGACGTCCAGCAACGTGTTCACGTATTCGGTTGTCATGGAAACGCCTACGAGACGCCCGTATAGGACGAGCGTCTCAACACCCGTGAGCAAATCCAGCAGGCCGTCACGCTGCGGGCAGTAGCCGATGTAGTGCTGGAACTGCGTTCATGTGTGCATGCGGAACAGCAGGATTCAGTGAACTGACAGTGTTTCGTGTAACTTGTGGTAACTACAGTATTAGTTTTTAGAAAAAAATTATTATTTCGGAAAAATCATGCAAAAAAAAAAACGTGGCCGATCTCCCTATATGGGAATCGGTATAACTCGCAAGTGAAACGTGTTTTTACGGAGGTAGTTGAGCGTTTATTGCGCGTCGTTTCACTTACAGCAGCAAGTTTCAAAGTTACGTTAAGAGCAACAAGCGGCTGAAAACTTGCAGCGCCCCCCCCCCCCCCCCCAAAAAAAAAGCACGCACCAAATTAGCATACACAGGACGAGTGCGGACTAAAAAGTGTCAGAGCTCGACACCTAAAACACGCAGTTAAGTCAGAAAGACACACGAAACGAGCACATAAGTATACAGTCAAGCGCGAACAACTAGACACTTTAAGTTGGTCGTACGTAATTAGCCTACGTTCGCGGCACGATGCGTTGCGTACACTGCATGCGAAGCACTCAACGACGCTTTTAGTTCCCCGTATTGACCGTACCAAGATACGTTTGGTTCAACTAGACGTTTTTTTCGGGACTTCCCTGAGGCGCCAAGCAATTTCTTTCCACTGCTCCGATACCTAAATGGATCGCTGGTTTGTACTTACGCTAGCAGCGCAACATCGTTCCTCAACGTATACTCGATTTGGACCGGCTTTGTTGCTCTCTGTGTTCGACGCCATCGCTGCCGTTTTCTTATCTGGTTCCTATTTCAATCGAGATATCGCGAGAGGGTCACGCCGCTTACGCTTCGCATCGTCACGTTTTTTTTTTTTTTTTTTTGCGGACGCGCGCATCTCTGAAATCGATACGTTACGTGCTGCACATGCGCATTTCTTTCCCGTGGCAGGGCTGCGTACGTGGTCTCGTTACATACGCCCAACTAAAAGTGCCTACTATCACTATTCTTCCTGCGTTGTGCGTCAGCAGCGCGCTCTTTTCGTAAACGCGGCTACAAAATCGTGCCAAGCGACCTTTGTCCTCTCCCGTATTACGAGTCCAGTAAGCGCGCACGCAGGAAAAGCCACGCTCGGTGGAGGCGGCGCTTCGTGGATGCGACGACCTTTACAGCGGGCCCAATCACGGAGGTTATGTATACCATATAACCTCCTTGGGCCCAACGCGATCCCGTCGCGCCATCTCGCCACTGATAACGAAATGCGCTAAAGTTTCGAACATCTGAGGATTCCTAAACGGTGTGTGGTGGCTTGCCGCTAGCACGCCAGAAAACATATGCTCCGTGGCGTAGTAATACAGTCTAGTTCACTATAGTAGTGGTTAGCGCCGCACGCTGAAAATGGAGAGGTTGCCGATTCGATTCCACGCGACATATACTTGACTTCTGCTTTTTTTATTTGCAATCTCTTAGTATATATTTTTCAACATAACTTCCGTGACGGAAGTACGTCAGCGGAGCCGTAGTGAACCCCGGCATAAAACACTTTTGAGTTGCAAAAAAAGGGCAGGGGGGGGATATAGGGCAAGCCAACTTTGCGTGTGCATGTCTGACACATGTTTCTTTATTTTCTTTGCATTGAATCGCGCCATGCTTCATTCCAACATCTTCTTTCTATATGTGGGAATCGAACCTTCACACAAATCTTTATCAGCGTAACGCTTCTGTTGCTGCAGGGTATACAATACCGGTCATGCACGAGACAATGAAACGCAACAATTAAAGGCAGCCAAGAAATGTGCCAGCAACGTGAAATGACAAGTGATCTCTAGAAAAGGATCAGATTGCCATATCAGAAGTGGTTGGTCACCAACAAACCCACAATAAAAAGAGCATCGATTATTGTAAAACGGCGCGTATGAATACGAATGTAACCAGCACCATTTTGAATGCCGCTCTACACTATTTCTGCTCACGCATTACTGCTGCTTATCGCGTATAACACCGCTGCCACCACCTATGTTCATAACTATCATATAATATGATTATCGCGTCACATTGCGTATCATGCTTAGAGTTTGGGACGGCTTAGTGCTCTCCCATAGTTGAGTACCGGGTACTCTAAATCGTTCACAACTTTTTCTAAACACCATATAATTATTACGAACGGCTGCTCTCCCATAGTTAAGTACGAAGTACTCGAAATCGTTAACCACTTTCTCTATATACACACACACTTTGCGAAATATTTGACTTTCAGAGGTACGGCTTTTTGCTCTCCCATAGTAGAGTACATCGTACTCTAAATCATTAACAGCTTTTTCTACACACACGTTTACGGATTCATTGCCGATTCCCCACATCGGCTTAGTTGCTTTTAGCGGGACGGCTCAGTGCTCTCCCATAGTCGAGTACGAAGTACTCAAAATCATTGAACATTTTTTCTAAACACATTCGCATTAAAAATTGGCCGTGATCTGTGAACTTCGCCGCAAATGTCGAAATACGATTGTCTTTTGCTGGCCGTCTTTTTCGCGCATAGCGTCGCATTTACAGCGCAGTGCAAGAAATCTCAGGACATTTAGAATTACGTGCCTACGTATTTTATAATAAAAGAACACACCGTCTAATGCTTACGTATTGGTTTTGCGCCTCAGATATGCGTAACATTTGCTTTTTGATCGACAATGTTTACAAGTATGAACGCAGCCACCAAATCAAAGACGGCTGAGCGTTGAGGAGGTGCTAGAACTTTCTCTGGGTGGCTGAATCGTATGACAGACAGGCAGAACAAAAATTTCTGCGTTCAGGTATCCCAAAAATAGCCAAAATATGGACGGCTCACTGCTCTCCCATGGTTGAGTACGAAGTATTCGAAATCGTTAACCACTTTCTCTATACACATACCAAGAAATACTATCGTCTTTAAAAGCAGAGGCAACCGACCTGCTGTCTTTCGTGCACAATTGAGAAGCCCGCGGCGAAGGCGTCCCCTTCGTGCGGCAGCGTCTGTCCCGTCAGTATGCGGAACATAGTCGTCTTGCCCGCGCCGTTGACGCCCAAGAGGCCGAAGCACTCGGCGGGACGGACAGTGAAACTCAGCCCCTGCGTGCAAGCAAACAGGGACACCTTGATTGGCGAGGTTTAACGTCCCGAAACGACGATGTTATTAGGGGAGACGCCGCAGCGGACGATTCGGGAAATATTGGCGGTAACGTGTCCCTAAAGCTAGGCACTCAGGCCTCCAGCATTTTGGTTTCATTGAAAGCAGAGATGTAGCCACAATCGGCAAACTGTTGTCGTGATTTGATCTCCTAACCTTCGGGTAAGCCCAACGTAGACACTTGAAACAACTGCCGGATTTTCACTGTGTCATTAAATAGAGCTGCAGTCAACAAGTCTAAATTTTAATAAAAGCAGTTGATACATAGACCAATACGGCAAAAACAGGTGAAAGAAACGTATGCACCTCAAGGAAACAGGGGTAGTCTATTATTGAGAATTACTAGAAGAATGGGAATCTTCAAAACTTCTTGTAAAAAGAGAATATATTCCCGATTGAGAGCATGTTCTACTAAACGTTCATTTAACTTTTACTGAACATTTGGCCCAGGGTCCCATATGATGCTTAACGTATCAAAATAACGCATCTGTTTAACGAGCCCGTTTCATGAACCAGCCTCACTCAATGTATACTTCGCACACAACGTCTGTACCGCTTTAGGAAACCCGCCATTGATGTTGTGAGAGCGAAGTTCGATTGGTAAGCTCATCTCTAGACCACGAAGCACTTGCCTGTAGCACTTCGTGGGTGTCGACGTAGCCGTAGGCCTTGTAGAGGCGGCGAGCGTACATGAAGGGCCTCGGAGTAGCTGGGGCCGCTTTGCCGAGCGCAAGTTCGCTGACCAGTTTGTCCTCTTGCAGGACGTCGGTGTCCTGGAGCTTTCCTGTACGCTGCACACAAGTGTTGATGCGTGTTGTCCGGTTGTGCGATATGGGTGCTTATATAGATAGATAGATAGATAGATAGATAGATAGATAGATAGATAGATAGATAGATAGATAGATAGATAGATAGATAGATAGATAGATAGATAGATAGATAGATAGATAGATAGATAGATAGATAGATAGATAGATAGATAGATAGATAGATAGATAGATAGATAGATAGATAGATAGATAGATAGATAGATAGATAGATAGATAGATAGATAGATAGATAGATAGATAGATAGTGTACCTTCTTTCCTGAGCCGAGGCCATGCGCAATGTGCGGCGCAGGCAGCTTGGGAACGTACAGATGGTGGGTTTCTTCGGGCAAACTCAACCATCTGTCTAGCTGCAGGTGCCAGGACTCGATGCAGAGCAACAGGATGAAGACCACGACACCTTCGATTAATAGCGTGAGGACCTCGTAGTAGGCCGAATAGTCGTTCACGTCCAGCGGATGGATGGCGTACTCGTAAGGATTTGCCTCGTGCAAGTCTGTGCACGAAGAAGTTGTGGTTTGAACAATCATTTTATTGCTATTACGATTATGTAGGCACGCACCACGCGTTTTTAGGCGTCGGTGTATAACATAGCGTGAAAGAAGAGTGAGATAACAAGCCGTCATCAGCAAATGCTGATTGCGCAACGAGTGTGTAGCTTACCGCTTCCCACCGGCTGGAAAGTGATCAGGCATAATTATTCATCGTCATCAATCACATACAGTATCAACCAAATCCGCATAATACTTTACAGATGTGAAGTGGACACCTCACTTCAAACACGGTTTTCGTTGCCGCCACACATAGCCCAGTAGTGAGCATCGCAGCCGTCGGTGATTTTTTTTTTTCATTACATTTGCCCCGTTTCAGTTTGTGCGCGTTACAAGAAAGGCTCTGCCCGAGTTGCGTTCCTCGTGAATCAGTTGTCATAATCCTTGGACAGTTCTGCTATGATAGACTTCTAATAGTTGACGCCTTCAGCCGCTCTTACTTGACATGATGCAGATGGCCATAATCAAAGTTCGTGATCGGTCGCGTTGAGGCTATAGAACCAAGATAAATGCGCGTTCCATGTCGGTTCTTGTAAATTCACTAGACTGAACTTTGGCGCTAGTGTTCGTGAGAGCTGCAATGCTTCAGCGAGCATAGGAACGATATGTAGTGCACACATTTGTCTGTAAGCTTCGTACTTTCGGCTTAGTTTCGCTTCGGATGGCTTGGAGTCACTTTGTCACGAGACGACAATCCGCAAATTACGGGTCACCAATTCAAATCGGGTCACGATGATGAAAGACAGTCCGTTCTTTCGTGCGAAACAAAACCAAAGCACAGCAGTAAACAAGTTATTATATGGGCTGCAGCTCAAGCATGAAAGTGCTGAAAGAAAAACGTACGGAAGGCGAGGGACGGAAGGCAAAGTGGGACTCAATGAAGGATTGCACCGGGCCAGTTGGTATGAATTCATCTTGGTAGGAAGCGCAGCAACTATTTCACAGAACACACAACACAAGCGCTTAACCTCAACTAAACGTTCATTGCAAACGTCAGAGTACATAGAGGAGTTGAAAAAGAAAAAAAATAATAAAAGGCAGAACAACAAAAGCACACGTGCAGTGCCGTACATTACTCGTCCGTTATCTTGTGCAACAGCCTTCTGTTGCATGAAATGGCTAAACAGATAATGAAAACAGATAAGCTGGGTGTAGGCATGCTTTTTAGTTGCAAGACGCACAAGGGTGGTATGCCGTTCCGGGTAGTTAATCTGGAAAATAGTTCGTGGCAAAAAAACGTGGCGCTTTTCCTGCAGGAAAAGCTGAATTTCTTTCAAATTAATGACCCGTTTCACACCAAGAATTCTGAGCCGATTGTGATTTTTTTTTAGTGTCAAATGCCAAAGAAGTGGTTAAGGCGTTGTGCTTTGATGTGAAAGATTTGTACTATTTTTTGCCTCATGATATGTTCATAGAACTTGTCGAACAGTGTATACTTGATACTTGAACATGGTGCAGTGACCTTTCAGAACGCTTGTGGTATGCCACTGCGGGGTTTTTTTTTTTTTGGATTTATTGGCTTTGTACTTCACGTCCACATTATTCGTTAATTGGAATGGGAACACCTATATCCAAAAAAAAAAAAGGTTTTTGTATTGGCTCGGCTATTGCACTCGTCCTTAGTGATAATTTTATGGCCGACTTAGATAAAAAATGATCAGAAGTTGTCGGGAACACAGGTTTTAAAAATCTTCAGGTTTGTGGACGATTATGTGATTTTTTTAAATGTGATGTCAAAGAGTTTCAAAGTTGTGCTGTTTTGACACTTGGAATATTTGAGACGGTTTAATAAATTTGTCAGCTTCTGAAACTTACACATGAAATGCCATGTGGGAACACGCTCAGGTTTCTCGATCTTTCGTTGCAATTTCAGGATGATCACGTTTGTTGACTTTATGAGCCCAGAAGCAAAAAGTCATTGTTGCTTTTCTCTTCTGCACATAAAGAAGTAGCCAAGAGGTCTGTCACACGAATGTGCCTTTTTAGTTTTTGAAAAAGTCGTATTTTCAACTTATGAAGAAGAGCTTTGAGCAACAGGTTTGCGACTGCAGGCAGCAGGTTACCCGCAACGACTGGTTATAGCCGTCGGAGAATCGATACATGTAGGGACCTAAAGAAACAAAATAAGCAGCGTATTGACACTTCCCCGCAGCAGCGTAATACGACTGTTGTCCCCAATATTCATAGTGTGGCACACAATCTCAAAAAGATGGGAAAAATGGTGGGTGTCCGAGTGGTCACGTCTGCTCCAGAAATACTGTCAAAAATATGTCGCAAAACCAGTCCTGCAGTGTTTCGAAAGATAAGAAAGGTTGCCAAATTAAGCATCGCAATAAATATGTTGAGGGTGCACTGTCGGTTGTCTACAGAGTACCCTTGTCATGTGGTCTTGCTTATGTGGGAACTAGCGAAAGATGCATAAATAATAGGTTTAAAGAGCACAATAATAAAGTGCAACAGGGTACTGATGGTCACTTGGCGATCCACTGTAAGGAGTGCGGTTGTGTGCCGTATTTCGATAACACTTGCGTTTTATATCGGGACAGAGATTTATTAGCCCGTTTGATTGTAGAAGCACGATAAATGACACGTGACGACTCTGAGTGTGTGAGTGCACCTTCTATCTCGCTCACGGTGAAAGAACTTGTTTTTTTTTTGATGATGTGATAGATAATAACGGATGAGTCATGTACAGCACTGCACGTGTGCTTTCTGTTGTTCTGCCTTTTATTATTTTTTTTCTCTTTCACCTCATTCATATACTTTTACGTTTGCAATAAACGTTTAGTTCAAGTTAAGCGCTTGTGTTGCTCGCTTTCCGTATACACTTTTCTTCCAGAACTTCGCGCTTGCTCTGCGACACTAATTGACATGAAATTCAACCCCATAGCAAAAATAGCTGTTCTTCTTCAAAGCAACAAACAAAGCCTGTAGTGCGTTAGAAGCCCGGAAACACGAAGACTAGGCAAATTCGTGTACTATACCCATAATTCCCATGGTCGCTGAACGGTCAAAGCGACAGATTATCTTCTAATTATTTTAAAGAAAATATGTGTTACGTTCCCTGTGTCATGGTGCTGCAAGGTTGAAATTCATACTCACGCTTGCAGCACTGCAGGAGCGACATCCGGCGAGTGGCGTCGGGCGCGTGGCAGTAGTTCTCGAGCTCGGCGCCGCCGGCGCGGCACAGCGCGTTCTCGTTGGCGAGCTCCAGTATCTTGATCATGCCCCGGGAGTACGAGTACGAGGGCAGCAGCCGCAGCACATGCAGCGCCAAGTGTATGAACGTGACGAGGCTGGAACTCATCGCGCTTGCGAAGTACGGCTCTACGAAAACCGCACCGAGGCAGCCTGCGGACGCTGAAAAAAAAATGGCGACCATAATGGGAACACGATAATTATATCTTAAAGGTGATCTGCAACGCTTTTTGAACATGGACCCGAAACGTTCCAGGTCAGTAGTTGAGGCTCGTGTGAGGATATGAGCCAAATGTACCGCAGCAAGCGGCAGGAAATTTACTAATAAACTTCAAATCAAGTAAGAAATCACCGACTTTTTCCGGAAAAAGTTATGTCCCTTACCCTAATCAACTGCATCACACATCCAAAAGACGCGGCCATTGGTCTATTTGAATATCGTCAGCTACATAGTTGCCCCGGCTACCACGGTGAGGCATCGCGCATAAGCGAGCCTAAAGTTGTGTGCGTTCGAAGAAAACAAAAAAAAGTACTCTAACAACAAAGTGCCCCATTTCATTCACCCCCCCCCCCCCCAACCAACCTTTCAGAGCGCTAGCTTGAACGAAAGGTGACAAGAAGCTCCTAGTGCATACGGCAAATATCCAACTTCGCTCGTACTTCTAAAAGTTCTCGCAGCATTCGATTAGTAGGGCAATATACTCCACTTGTGAGGTCATTTCATGACTAGTCTGCAGCGGAAGAGTGCCTTACTCTCTCCTAGTGCATGGTTACAGACTTTTTGGCGCAATTCATGACGCCAGCGGTCCGTTCAGTACGTGGTGATATGTGGAAATAAGCTGTTGATTGGTGTTTGTGAATGGTCTCCTATACACCTTTTCACAGGAAGGAAAAAAACACCGCAATGATGGGCCGTACGCGAGAGTACAAAGGCTAAGGGCGCAGCATTGTCAGTGCATTTTCGAGGGGACGCGCCAATTTGCACAGCCCAAGGAGGGCTATCTCGGCGCCCAGGGAGGCGTTTATGAAAAGGTGAATACACTGTTTTAATGACGTTGTTGGCCCATGTCTCAGTTGTCGTGCGCAGTCAACTTATTTATCATCGCGCTCTGCGCATTTTCAACTTCACAAGCAGAAATAAGAGCGTAAAACCGAAAAGCGCCAAATGCCGATAGCGTCAGCGCTTAGTCAATAAAGAGTTTTAGAATACCGTTTGCAATGCTGCGGGCGTTGCGGGCGTAGCGGGTGCCACATGAGTTTTAGGATAGCGGTTGCCCTGCTGCGATCCGCAACGCACGATCGCAGCGACACCCGTAGCCTCGAAACCGGCGCTTGCGTGCCACATGCGGGCCGCAATTACCGCACGCAATTTCGGATTTTTTTTTTTTTGCGTGTGGTCCGCGAACGAGAACACCGACTCGCGTTACGACGCATGCGCAGTGGCAGTGACCGCACCGCAAGGGCTCACAGTGCGCTATTCTAAAACTCCCTAATAGGGAGCTTTAGAATAATAGGGAGTTTTAGAATAGCGCACCGCGAGCGCTTGCGGTGTGGTTGCTGCCACTGCGCATGCGTCGTAACGCGAGTCGGCGTTCGCGTTCGATTTTAGAAGGCACGCGAAAAAACCGAAATTGCGTGCGATGATGGCGGCCCGCATGTGGCCTGCAAGCGCTGGTTTCGAGGCTACGGTGTCGCTGCGATCGTGCGTTGCGGTTCGCAGTAGGGCAAACGCTATTGTAAAACTCATATGGCGCCCGCTACGCCCACAACGCTTGCAAACGGTATTCTAAAACTCCCTAATGCCACCTAGATAACTCCAGGCTTGCTCACTGTGTCGGCCACGGCCTCTGACGTCACTCCGTTTTGACCAGTGTTTTTCGCTGCACAGACGTGCCAATGCTTGCTCTCGTCGCTCTACAGACATGGATTGCCAAGCGTGACGGAAGTTTTCGTGGCGTGATAGTGTTATCTGTTGGAGACTTGAGAATGCCATATATTTTTCTGTGTCCGTGAACAGCAGCGTGGATACGTGATGCGTTTTTGTGCACTGGATATTCGCGATCTGGCTGAAAATCTGAAAAGTTGGGCGATGCTGCGTGGCGTATTGTCGCGACAAAGGAACCTATTCTGCGAGCGTTCTCGTTTCCTAAAAACAACCGAAGAACGAAATTGGAGCGTGTCGTTCATCAAGCCGACGCCGACATTCGTTTTCTTCGTGACCCGAAGGTGCGTGGGTCCGTTCCAATGGCCCCATCACCACTATGTCCCGTTCTTTCTCCAAAATAAAGGTGTCATGTGTGCTTCTAACCTGTTAACGTAGGCCCTGACATTAAATTAATAAACGTGCGTAAACATTTTTAGAACAAGCGTTTTTCTTTAAGGGTCAGTAAACATTTAGAGTTTATAGATTATAGCCGCGGACTTGTATTACCTCTGTTCACTTGGTTGATAAAAATGGAAGGCATGCTTTTGCATTACTTAGTGCGTCGGTTTTGTGCGTAGTATTTTCTTGCCGGTGTTCATATCACGTTATCGCAGTATTCTTGCGGTCATCACTTACAGCACTTAAGTCTAATATGGTTCCTTGAAATCTAGACGCGTGTAGACACGGTAAAGCGCTTTCTTAATTGGTTTCAGGTGTGTAATCTCTACTTCAAGGTAGAATAATTAAGAACCACTACCAAAAATATACTGATCCAAGAGTCGGCAGTGTGGTAGAAGTGCCTGCGGGGGCTACATGGTTTAATATAAACACAGTTCTAACAGTTTTTTTCAGGCCTTAAGGTGTATGTCCGCTAGAAGTGTGGCAGCTTGGGCTAGTTGGTCTGGCATGACGATAGTTATAGTGCAAGAAAAAAACGACGACACAGAGACAAGAAGGGTGTGGCAGCTTGGGCTAGTTGCTATGGCTTTCGTGTCCTTCTTGTCTCTGTGTCGTCATTTTGTTCTCGCGCTATAACTATCGTCGTGTATGTCCAACTACGCACCCCTGCGAGAGGGGCCAGAACAAAAAAGGAAGGCCGCTTCTCGTGTCGGTCACAAGAAATTTTTGTTAAACAAAAAGTTTGTTTTCTCTTGTAATAGTCATCGCCCTGATTTTGCGCCTAATACCATACCTATGGCAGCAACACACACTCTCCTCAATAAGTACATGTCTGTGAAGACAGATGTTGGAAAGAGTACAAATAAAACTGCAGAAACTTTGCAAATGACTTGGGAACACTTTCTCTGCATGCTCTAGATAGTGTGTGTGTGTGTGTGTGTGTGTGTGTGTGTGTGTGTGTGTGTGTGTGTGTGTGTGTGTGTGTGTGTGTGTGGAAATAAATGAAGAATGAATATAATTTACCGTATTTACTTAGTCAATTTATTGGCCCACAAAATTCATTCCTATATATTGACTACACGTTCTATATTGTCAACCTTTGGCTTTTTCGTGGAAGAAATGGCTCACAGGTGAGTCTCCAAATGCTTTAACGCGCAACACATTACTTAAATCAGTGCCTTTTTTGGCCCAAAGGCAGAATAAAGCTGTCAAGCATGTAAAACATGCGCGAACGCTTTATCTTTTAACGGGTGACGACTGTGGCAATGGATTCAGAGAATTCCGTACACGCACTCGCTCGGGCAAAACGAGTGACGTCACGTCGGCAGTGAGCAGGCCTGATAATCTAGGTGGCATTTGCTTAGTGCTGACACTGTTCGCGTGTTTTGTGACGAAATAAATGACGGGGAGGAGTTGTCGCTGATAGGAGAGGCAGTGAAGGCGAGAGAGAAATCACTCTCTCGTCTTACAACTCGTAGTGCTTTAGGGGCCCTTTCAATACGACGATGAATCACAGCACTCCTCTAAATTTGCGGGACTGCGAAGAAGACCTGTGTCAGAGCAATCACACGTTGCGACGTTTTGAAGCGCAGTTAACTCTTTGAACCTCTCCTGGTTCTCGTGATAGTGTAGTCTTGCCGTACATACCACACTGTCATCATTGAGTTGCGTTATGGTGTTAGGTCATTGGTGTTTCTTATAATACAAACACCATAGCCATGAGGTTGAATAATATACCGGCTTTGGATTTGATTCGAATGGATTTTATTTTTGAGATTCACTATGCTTGTCTACCAAGCTTTTAACATATATATATATATATATATATATATATATATATATATATATATATATATATATATATATATATATATATATATAGCTATTTTCTGGCTATGTATTCGCTTGAAATGGATATTATGAAGCTTTATATGAATCTCTTAATGAATATTCTGTATGAAGTTATTGCAGAACGTGTGACAAATTGTATGATGAACTGTGCTAACGTGCTATGATGGTGGACATGTGATGAGCGTGTCTGTAGGTGAACGTGAATAACGGATTATTTTTTTACGACACATGAAAACACAACTAAACTGGTACTTAAAAAAACACGCTCGTCAACAGTCTGCTGGTTAACGCAATCCACTGCGAAGCTCGTACTTCCCTGCTTCTCATCATTCCCATGGTGGTTGAGGTTAAACGATCGTAGCGCCGGATTCCCTTCTTAGTTATTGTATAAAACTCTGTGGTGTTAGTTTTTTCTTGAATCAACGTACACTTTGTTGAAGCACTGAAAATTACTCGTTCCTACTTGAAGTGTGCTTGTATTGTAATGAGTTTTCACCTTTTTGACGTCAGCAGAAACACTCATAAATGTCGTGTGACGATGTACGCCATTCACAGCGGCTTATTTCAGAGGACATTCACAAGTCGAAATAAAAAAAAATAGTTGCTTACACACGATAAATGCCGAGATGACAAGCGTGGTGAATCCAACGTTGGGATTGTTGAATAGGAAGGAGCATATGTAGATCAATGGAAGCGCTGCGTAGCCGTGCAGCAGGTTAAATAGGAAGATAAGTTCTGCGAAAGAAAAAAATATGGCCAGTGTAAAGAGTCACCGTTTGTTGGCAATGCGGAAAGGATCAGCGATTGCAGCTGGTTGAAAGTTACAAAAGGACCACTTTCTCGCGAGATATTCAGAGAATGTGTACAAAACAAGTTAACTTTAAAGCACGTAGTTAGTTCAATCCTTGCTAAATTTCTCATACGCTATTCCAATAATTTTTTCTCTCTACTATTGTGCTTTTCATATATTTTCTTATAGTAGCGTCAAAATTTTACTCAAATATGTATTTTTTTAATCCATAACAGGGTGTCGAAGCACGCAATGCGGTAGAAAATCCGTGTCGTTTTAACATACTGACGCCTAACAAATGGTAAGTCTATAGTTAACTAAAGGATATAATGGTAGTTTGAGAGGTATTGTGTTAGTGTAGGGTGGCTTAAATAACTCATGTAGCTTTTTTTCTAAGCTCGAGTGATTCGATGTCATTGATTCGAACTAGTTCACAGTAACAAAATTTTTTAATGATTTTACTTTCATAAAAAATGAGATGAAAAATCTTTTTCCAAAATATGTACTGTAAAATGTTGTACCCAGCACCTTCACCAGTGTCACAGGCGAAAAGGTACAGACAGAAATGAGTTGACGTCTTCCCCAGAGCCAGACCAGGAATAATGTGCTCTACTTCCTTCACTTCTAAGCGAGTACATACCACAGCGGACGACTCATACGTAATGACATGTGGCAATATACAATTTCCAAAATTCCGATTAACACGTTACTTGTATGAATGTGTTACGCGATAGAGTGTCACTAATGGCACAGCTTCTAGATATATGACGTTTCCGCTTTTCATGAAACACACAGCCCAAGAAAAAAAAAGTGGTACTCACGAATGTCGCTCATCATGAGCGGCGTTTGCGGAATAAAGAACAGCGGTGGCAAAATCGTCAACGCCGTCCCCATATAGAACATGAAGTCGAAGGCAAAGTTTATCATCCAGTAGAGCAGCGAGCTGACGCCCGCGATCATGTGCAAATGCTTCACCTGCGAGCATGTGCGCCAACAAAAATCATGGTGCACTGGAACCGGCAACCAGTTCGGTAATTAATTACACCGAGTAGAGTCAGTGCTTCAGTAAGCAGTTATGTACTGTCGACAACAAAAAGGTCGTTGGGGTGTCTTTTAACTTGCCTCTGGTGAATCGAAGGCGAAAGTCACACTTTAAATCTTAGTCGATTGTATCTCTTTTTCCCCAACCCTTCTAAGGAGTGGAGGAGAAATAACGTGAACACGTGACGTCACAGCATAGCAACTTTGATGCCACTGTGGTGCTGTATGATGACATCACCAGATAAAATCGCCGCTTGTTCACAAGTGGACCGACCCAGGAGGCAATGCAATCTATGGCGTCATCACACGACGCTGGTTACATCGTATGATGACGTCATTACAATTTTTCGCGTCACGCCTACTGACGCAAATGACCAATGTTTTTGTTCATCGAGTAGTTTAAGGCTTTCCACTCAATATTACGGCAAATGACAGTGCTTGCCGAAATTTCCATCGGAGCCACCTGCGCTGCCACCTGCAAGCCAATTGTTTAAATTTCGCGTGTCTTGCATAGACTGAGTCACCGCTCAGAATGGTGGCGCTGACGATGCGGGTAGTATCACCTTGACGTCGTTAAAGAGGCAATCTAAATTTATTTTACATCCCCAAGGACCTGACGATTACGTAATAATGTGCTACTCTACTTTTCACGTCTTTCAAGTTGGGCTTCTCCTTTATGAGCATGTTATAATGAAAAAGCAAGCTTTACAGGCGCCCTAACCAGAGACTGACATGCAACTGGTACGCAATCATCATCCGTCTTGCAAAGAGGCGTACCTGCAGCGCCCGCTCCGCGATGGGGAACATCACGAAGTTGCCACACATGAGGCTGGAGATGAGGGGAAAGAAGATGGAGCGCAGAATCTTTGGCAGCATGACGCGGTACGTGCTCTGACTGCGAATGTCCTCCTCGGTGCTCTTGGTGGCCGGCCCGCCGCGCTCTTCCTCGGTCCCCCTGGACGTGACGTCGAAGCCGAACTCTGCCGTCGTCACGTTGGTCACGTTTCGTAGCCGCGCGGTGTTGTACAGACCAAGCAGGAGGGGCGCCATGTGCGGGATCTGGCCATTGTACCAGAGTACGTCTCTGCGAAGAGTGGGCATGCTTTAAAGACGATAGTCTTTTTGTGGGGATATTTCAGCGCAGACATTTCGTCTGTCTGTGTCTGTCTGTTGGTGTCTTTCCAACAATTCGGCCGTCCGGCGAAAGCTTAAGTCCGCGTAGAGGGCCGTGGACTGTTCGATATCAGTGCACGTACAAAACACCCGATGGTCAAAAAATTTCTGTAGCCCTTCACTGTACGGCGTCTTTCATAATCATCATTGTGGTACTGTGGTGTGAAATCTCACGTATTAAAGTAATTAAAAAAATTACTCGTCACTTCAACCCTTTCGATCCTTGGCGTACATGTTTACGAACTCACCCAGACTTGTTGGTCATCTGAATGGCGAAGTGTGTGTCGAACACGTATTCGTACAGGGACTTCTTCGAATCGTCAAGCAGCATCTGGGACAGGTCGACGCTCGCGCCGACAAAGGTCACGTGGAAACTGGGTCCAAACATCGGCTCCAACCAGCGTTGGCGGAAATAGCCTTCCGTATCCGCCTGAAGAAAACCCTGTGCAGGTACGACAGCAAGAACTTCGATGTAGTGAAATATGCCGTAGTTCAGCACACGAGCTGAAGGAACGCTGTCACAAACTGAAGTAACTCGACACGGTTCAGTCTGTTTTAAAAGCACCTTGCTCTTACGTAGCGCAAGTCTGGCCTGCTTAAATGGTTAAACATTTTTAGCTCTTTGTGTGCTTTTCTACTTTGTTGTTTTCTACTGTCCGTCAATGTCATGCTGGTTCAGTGTAGCAGTTGATGGATGTCCGCATTTATTTTTAGTTTGCTTCACAAAAAAGTCAGTGTAGTTTGGCACGTATGAGTGGCTTTCACAATGACGATTTAGAATTTTCCACACAAAACTATCATAGAAAGACACAGCGAATGACCAAAGTTATCTTTTTGTGCGATTGAAAATGATACCAGACAATCAAGTTTGAAGGCCAGGTCGATGTGGGATATTCGGACACTCAAATCTCGGCCACGGAAACAGCAGCGGGGTGCCCAAACTAAGCATACCCCTTATTATTCTCTAAGAGTGGCTGGCTAGGTAGCCTGTGCGATCAGTGACGTAGAAGCGGCTCGCTTACCCGAGGGTTGGTGACCACCTGAAGGAAAGTGTAGGGTAGTGTGTTCCCCACGTGTTGCAGCGCGCCGCCGCTGTTCTTGGCACCGATGTACTCGAGAGAAAACAGCATCGCCAGCAGCAGCGGAGGCATTATCCAACTGAACAGCGGCGCCCTCTTCTGGCGCCATGCGTAGACGGCGCGCTTCGTCATCATGGCCATCACGCGGGTCCCAAACGACGGCTCCGTGACGGCCTTGCTGGCTATCGTCTTCACCGCGCTCACTGCGACGAGACGGTGCAATCTCGGTTACCCCCGTATTCTGGAACGTCCCTTCACTCAACGCTTCACCTTCACTTGAGAAAGCCGATGGGAGCGCCGTCTCTAGGCACGGCAAGGCACTGCATATCAACGATAATCTGCTGCAATTTTTCGAGTAGAGGAGCGTCATTTTTCAGTCGAGCTGTGGACGTAGTGCTCAACTCTGTCAAGTGAAGAGTGAGAAGTCGAGTCGAGTAGAGTTTGTAAATACAGGGGTTAGTAGCTCAATACGAGACATTCGATGGCAAGTTGCGGTTTCAAGAGCATCGTTTCGTTAAAGAGGCATGTTCTCGCTACGTTTTCTTCACTGGCTATTGCTTGCTTCGCACTCAGTTGCACATGCAGTTACAATTTGTTAAAGTACAGTGCAGTTAGTCGCAATAATAGCGCTGTGTCCTCCTTGGCTAAACCTTAGGCAAATATTAGCGTGGCATTATGGGCAAGTTGGTACGTACAGGGGTGTCAAAAATTCCCAGGTCACTATACTGTATATTCCGACGGGAGCGTGGCCTGAGAACTTTGATATTCCCTGTACATGCTTCTTCGTAAGGGAATACAAGCAACACCAAAGCAAGACTGGAGAACCAAGCATCCTTCCCTGTTTCTTTCTTCATTTTTTTTCTTGCCTCAGTTCTTCTGATTGCTTTTAGTGTTGCTGGTACTATACTCTTACCATGGACTTGTGCGAAGTAACTGGCACCAACGTTGTCTACGACTTCGTTGGCGCGATGCAATGGGCACAGTCACAAAGCTATCATCATCGCCACCACTACTTTATATACCTTGGCACCCCTGGTTCTTTATAAAACGATTCACGCAGCTTCCTACACATTCACCAAAGCAGACTCGAAAGTGAGAGTCGTGTTCTGTTTATTCCTTTTCTTGGTCGTTTGTATTGCTTCCCTCCTCCCACCGAAAGCTCTCTACATTTAACGGGCACATGGTTTGCACTGCCTTCTGTATCGAAGTCATTGGAAGCTTCCCACACCTTACTTGCTTTTAAGTGCCTTATGTACACCCGATTTTCACCCAAGCGTTATTATACCTTCGTGTGACGTCGCAGTAGCGTAATAACGTCACAACTGCGGCGACATTTAACAACGAGGTGTCATCATACGGTGACGTCATCACGGGATCATGTATTAATTGCATCACTTCGTGTTCACACCGTTGCAAATGGCCACGATTCACGTTGAATAATGCATCAAGGATTTCGCCTTAAAATGGATTGCATAAAAAGCCGAGAATGTGCGATTACTCACTCCTGGCGTCTATCACGGTGGGCCCGTCGCTGAAGACGTCCGGGTGCCGGTGATGATGGTGAAGGTGGTGCTCTTCGCCCACACGAATGAGCACATCTTCCAGTGACGTCACGGCCAAGCCCACACTCTCGATGCCCAGGTTCTCGCTTTGTTGTTCGATGTCCTGTTGGAGAGCATGAACAAATGTGCTTGAACTAGCTTTCGGAGGTGGCTGCACGATTCGTAGCCGCACGTTCCGCAGCACGATTTGTCTTGCAGAGGCAGCACAGTCGGGTTTCACGACACGATTGGCCTTGTAGACGGAGCGAAATGATAGGTCCTCACAAAACTGGCCATTAACAGCACATTTGGCGTTGTAGACGCAGCGCGATTGACCTAGCATTACACAACTGGTCTTAAACACAGCACCATTTCGCCTTGCACACGTTAGGAGGAGACGTGTCCACGACGGAGTGTTTGATGGAAATTATCTCGTAGCTGCGAGAACTATCAGAAAACTAAACACCCATTTAGTTAGTGTCTAGCCCTGTCTTCGCTTCTTTTTTAAGTGATTTATATGCCAGGGGATATACGTATCATGATAAGCAATTTAACGTATCTTAATTTTCATTTATATTTGCTGCTCATATTTTATACAGCCTTTTCTTGCTTGGCTTGCCTGACTTAGTTTTTCAGTGATAATAACGCAAGCAGCTACACACTATGAGCACATCGGTATGGTACAAGCAATTTGAAATGTCCTAATTCCTATCAATATTTACTGATTATTTGTATTGGAGGGTAACCAACATGAACTCAGCCTCAAAAAGCTCGAATATTTCTTTCTCATATTAGGTTTTATTCGAAGTACATTGACCTTCTTGGTAGAGATTTAGTGAAGCTCTGTAGAATATATGCGCATCGATATTGCAGTACACGCAGTTCTCCTCGATCGCTTACATCCAGACTTTTGACAGTGATGACTAGTCCACGGTGCTGTCAAAGGTCTCATGCCACCGGGCCAAGGATGTTGCGCACCAATGGCAACGCTCCTTCGTTGTGATACCATTATATGCACACTCACTACGAGTTCTGGCTGTCGGCGTCGCCTCCATTTTCACTATCCACCTGCGCATCATATTTCGTACCGGCTAGGTTTGGCCTTGAGCGCCGTCGTCACCGCCATGTATTCAATATTCCTGCGCGCATCGTATTTTCTGCCGGCGGAAAAAATCACGCGAAGTGGATTTGATGAACACGGCTGACACACAGATCAAACGAGCAGACACATTGCCGCTCGCAGGGAGATTGAGATAGCAGGAAAGAGATTGCGATAGCATGATCTCCGGTTGGAAAGCTTGCCATCTAAGCAAAGAGGAAGCAGCCCGCCCGTCTTGAACGAGCGTCAAAAAGACGCGATGTGGTCGCTCAAGCAGCAGTTTCGAACAGTGATTCTAAGGGAAGTGGTCACGATCTCTGGTGCGCGCGATATCTCGGCAGCCTTCAGCGGGCCGCTTGCATATCCTTCTATGTGCTGAGATCTCAACGCGAAAATACTGCGGAAACAGCATCTCTTCTTGGAGCGATCGCATTCTCTTACACTAGCGTTTTGCAGCGTTACGCAAAATCATATGCGAAGTGTTAGCTTCCAGCCTTACTTCGTATATAACATTTCATTTTTGCTATCGCATTCATTACTTCGCCTTTGTGACGAAATTTACTTTAAAAAAGGCAACAACCTGTCACACCTTTAGACAAGTATAAACTGTCCGTTGTGTTTCTTCTTTCCTCTCTCCTTTTACTTAATGACTGTTACGGAATAATATGTGAATGCATAACTTTCGCTACGAAAGTAACCAATTACGTTCTCTTACATGCCCTAATAGTATTCATGACTCCACTTAATAAGGCCTTATGTGTCGCGAGCAAGCGCTCATGCTAAGTAATCATGTGCAGTAATGACCGAAGGGACTCACCGACCGCCAATATTTACGGTATCTGTTTTCTTCAGTGCTACAGAATGCCTACCGACCTAGTGTAATCACGAAAAGGTGACGCGGCGAGCGCCATGCAACATTGGAATTTTTCCATCTGCCGCAAATGTGGAATCTTAACTCCTGATTTTGTTATAAGCTTTATGTCGCACCTTGAACATCGTGACAATCTTTCGCGTCGGGTGCACGTGACCGATAACGAACACTGCCTCGTTGTCGGAGTCGCTTTGCAGCTTGACCTTGGGTGCGTACTTTCCCAGCAGTTTCTCGATGGCCGGAACATTGCACTTCGGCAGTTTGTCGATCTTCATGTGATAGCCGGTGTCGAACCGATGCTTCAAGAAGCTGGGAGAACCAGTACACCTGTGCGGTAATGAGAGGCAGGTTAAGGTTCAAACTTCAACGGCGGTTGGGATGGGACATCGCGCTAATTGATGTGTGAAGTTTTAACGTCCCAAACCCACCATATGATTACGAGAGACACCATAATAGAGGGCTCCGTAAATTTCGTCCACCGGGGGTTCTTTAACGACCACCCAAATCTGAGCACATGGGTCTGTGGGATTCGATCCCGCGACCTGCGGGTGAGCAGCCCAGTACTTAATTCACTAGACCACCGCGGTGAGACAGGACGTCAGGGTAGATGCGGACAAGACGAACGCAATCCTGTCCGCATTCGTCCTTTACGTTTAAGTTTCAATAATGCGTCATACAAAACAACCCCCCACAGCATACCTAAATTTTGAATTGCACAGTTACACTATGAATTACACATTAGTGTAATTCATTGCGTGAATGAATAGACAAGAAGGGAAAAGATCGATGTATCATGGCCGATGTTACCCTACCATGATGTCTTATTGCACTCCATATTTGTTCAGCTGCGAATACCTACGAATTTGAATAAAAAATATCTTGGTTTCTACGCCCCAACGCCACGATACGATTATGATGAACGCCATAGGGAAGGACACCGGAAATATTGACCATCTGGTTTTTTTTTTTAACCCGAACTGACATAACGCAGTGCACGGGCCTCTACCATTTCGCCTCCACCGAGATTCGACTGTCGCGGCTGGGATCTAACCCGCTACCTTAAGGTCAGCAGCCGAGCACTCTAGCCACTGATCCACCGAGGGAGACTACAAATTCAAACCGAATTTTAGTTCTCGTAAAAGGTGGAGCTTCCTATTGGATGGACGATGCTCAGCCTGGGGATTCGTTCGCATTCATTGCGTTAGTTTTCCAGCTAAATTCCATCATTAACTGGGGTTGTCTATTAGGTCCGACGTGGTGGTTTTTATTGCAGCCTCGATAATATACTTTGCTGTATAATGTATTTTACTGTATGTATGTATGTATGTATGTATGTATGTATGTATGTATGTATGTATGTATGTATGTATGTATGTATGTATGTATGTATGTATGTATGTATGTATGTATGTATGTATGTATGTATGTATGTATGTATGTATGTATGTATGCGTGTGAACCACGTTCGACAATGTGCACCTGATGCGACCGTTGGCCATGATGATGATTCGGTCTCCGAGAACGTCAGCCTCGTCCAGATGCTGCGTGGTGAGGAAGATGGTGCACTGACGGTGGATCTTGAGCAGCAGCTCCCACATCTCCCGCCGAGCTTCGGGGTCCATGTTGGCCGTCGGCTCATCCATGATTATCACCTGCAACAGTCCAGTCGCCGTAGCAACTTGTGGACATCCACCTGAACCATTTTGGAAGTACTGGATGTGTCGAGCACATATATAGTCAACTAATTATGATGGAGACTGACCGACTGATCACAGAGTCTGCGTTTTGTGGACGTTTCAACTTGTTTGTAAAAAAAAAGCACCGCCAAGCCCTTCGTACAAATGGTTAACCAGAGAAAGCTGAAACGTGCGGCCCCAGTGTTTAACAGTGGGTTCAACCCCGACGTGGCACTGAAGCCTTTCACAATTATTGGTTTCATGTTAGTGCTTCTTAATGAGATTAAACACACGTTCAGTGGGTTGGGTGTAAACCTTGGGTGTACCACAGTCTTTATTTAACATGTCGCACATTGTGCCTCGCATGGTTCCGGTCATGGAAGAGTGTGATGAGCGGTTAAATGCGTTTCGCATCGCGTTAATCGCAGTGGTTGTTCTCGAACAACATGCGGCCATATACGTCGCCGCAGAGGCCAGTGCGCCCCTGCAGAAACTACCGCGGGCGTTCATTCCAGTGAACGCGTTCCCACAATCATCACATTGACGCCACAGCGCCGCGTTGTTGCAAGCGCTTGACATTGCGAGCCAACTTGGCGGCGTGGTTTGCAAATCCACCCGCCACCGGCGCTGGCGTTCCCCTTCGCGATTTAGCGTGGCTTGGAAGGATGCCGGATCATACGTACGCAGCTGCTGCCAGCACAGGCCTCCAGGGTCTGTTTTGTCCCAGGTCTGTGCCACCAGCCCGGCTACTGCGAGCTCCCTCACCTCTCAACTTCCAGCACTCCTCCAGAATAAGTTACTTTTGAAAGGGGAAAAGGAAGAAATAAGCAAAGTTCCGTTACTGCCTCTCTCAATGGAGGGCACCTCCACAGTTCTGCACAGGGGATGCGGGTAAAGAGTGGTTAAAAAGGATAGGGAGGAATTGAGTGTAGAGAGATAGAGAGAAGAGCAGGGAGAGAGAGAGGGGCAGGGACAGCCACATACGGAAGTAAGGAGAAGGTAGCAAAGATGGACACGGTCGCAGAAGTCCGAGGACGGGGCACCACTCAGCGAGAGCTCTTGTCGGAGTCAGGAGATGGCGTATGGCGAGCCCGTCGGCCAGAGCTGCGCTGTCGTCGGAGATTGCGGGAACACAACCGGTCGGCACGAAATCCAGCGAGCGAGTCCACTCTTCCAGAGTTGTTCCGTGTATAGACATAATGAAGATTTCACGAGAAACTCATGTGCGCGTGCACAAGGCCACCGCTGCGACGGCGTTAACGACGTCACTCACAACGCAGCCTATTGCGTGCGTGCTTGGGTACGATGCTCCGATGACGTAACTGATAACACAGCCAATGGAGACCATTCGTGACACCGCTGCATACGGCTTTTCGTTAGCAAGCTATATACGGCTTTCGCTATATAAAAATCAACACTGCACGGACATGCTATTTAGCACAGTCTTCATTTTCACAGCAGTAGCATTGCCACTGGTAAATATTTAATGGTGAGGGTGGCCACAAATCATCTTGTTGCACATAAGTGTGCGCAGGTGTGCGGGAAGAAATTCTGCTGAGAGATGTTCTCTTTTTCAGACCATCCTGCAGGTGTAAGTTACATATTGAGCTGAACAAAAACAAGGACGCGTTTATCTAGTATTCAACTGTAAATGAATACAGAAAAACTTAATTCAGTGAAAAAAAAAAACGCTGCACAAATCTAGGCATACGAGTGATACACAGACGCATTTTGCAATTTGGACGCACCTGGATATACATTCGTGAAAACGACTGGAAGACAGCGCCTCAAGGAAGACAATTCAATGTGGTCTAAAAAAGGTCTACACGTAACGGTTTCGGATGCAAAGCAAAGAAAGTAAGGTTCGTCTATACGTGTCGTCACTTGCCGGTCTCTATAGGCCTATCCGTCGGCCTGCCGCGGGCTTCGCCACGCTCCAGCCCTACGCAACAAATGGCAATGCATATTTCGAATCGGTTAACGGAAGAGAGAGTTTCCAACCTTCGGTGTGCCAAGGATGGCTATCGCCGTGCAGAGACGCCGCTGAAGACCGAGGGACAGGTCGACGGCCAGCACGGAGCGATTCTGCATCAGGCTGACGTCGTGCAGCAGGGTGACCACCTCGTAGCGAACTCGGTTGAGCGGTATGCCCTTCAACTAGATCAGACACGAAAGGTAGAAACGTGGCCATGTTAGTAAAGGCATGAAGTGCAAGAACATCGCAATAGAAAAACAACTGGTGAAGAATGCACACTGAACCAGAGACTCCAGATATTACTGAGTCAGGAAATGTTTTGATAAAACACCTTCTTTCACAAGAATTTTGGAGGGAAGGGTGGGGGTCGGGGGGAGGGGGGGGGGGTTCTAGGGCACACGTCTAGTTACGGACCTCTAGTGAGCTAACAAGCGAATAATTATAAGAAAAGAAGTGCAAGAAAAGCGGCGCGACTTTCGCGAACAAGCCTCAAAAACGCTGGAATATCGATTTTCTGGTTACGGAAAGTATTTTTAATTGTAACAAAGTAGTCACTCAAATACGAGGGGAGTGCAAAAATCACTTATCTTGCACAGTAAAAATATGCTCCAGTATGAACGAAAGTACCCATTTATTTTTAGCACTGCCTCCAGAGTTGTCTCTGGTTAGATACACATTTGCGAATGCATGATTAATGTTACTTGCTGATTGCCCCAACGTATGTTTGAATTAAACAATCGACTACGCAAACTCATAGACAAACGCTCTACTAGTGAATGGCAAACGTGCTAGTGGCGAACGGATGACTACTGAAAGAGCTATACAATCACAGGGAAAATGCAAATAAGCTAAAATTCTACAAGCGAATTTGAGAAAAAAGAAGCCTGAATTCACATATCGTAAGCTGAACTGGCAAACCTGCACTTAAGCCTGATTGGCTGTTCCTCACCAGTCCCTGTCTCTTGGACTTGCGGGAATGCGAGAATTGGAGATCAGAAAAAGCAAATTGACTGCTCATACTTTCAGTTTCGCCTGCAGAAAACACGTGATAGATTTTTGTCAGCTACCACTTTCAGAAAACAACTATTCACCAAATGTGCAGCAGTCGTACGACTTTTTACCGCAAAAAGCACATTTAAACTAGGGTATTTGCTTTTGTACAGATCCAGACGGAGTGCATCTAAGCCAACAAGCGTCGTGTCTCGTCTCGATCTGTCACCGTCCGTGCGATCTCTTCTCTGCTGTTCTGAATCGATTAAATTCATTGTTAATGCGACAATAACGGCTAGGAAGGAATAACCAAGGCCAGACGTACAACTGCGAAGAACACCAGATGTTCCTCGACAGTGAGGTCTTCGATGAGGATGTTGTGTTGCGCACAGTAGCCGATGCTTTCGCGCGCGTCTCTGGTGCAGTTCTTCACGTCGTAGTTGCCTATAAGAATCAGGCCTGACGTGCAGTCCAGAAACCCTGCAGCAAGGGGGAGCTAGTTATGTTGGGATTTATGGTGCCGAGGTAGCAATGATTATGATGCGCCAGACACTATAGGTGATTTGTAATGAGAAGGTAACATGAAGGTTATCGAAGCTAACGTTCATTTACAGTTTGTTTTGAAAGACCTTTGGCCCCTAGAAACTCAATGGCATCCTGTATGGGGTGATTCCATTTTCTTACAGCACTAACATTGGGCTTAGAGTTGTTAGTGTTTTGTGTAATTCATCAAAATGATCGTGTCTTCTTTTTTCGGAAAGCTGGGCACGTTATTCAAACACGATTCACCGTCACAGGTTCCTTGAAGGATTGGCACTGTGGCTGCTCTGCTCTTCGCAGCAAAAAAAAAAATAAAAAATTGTTAGGTGACTATGACAGGCGACATAGTTTTACTTGGATTAATCGCTTTTGACGACAGCTTAAGTATCATTATGGTGAAAGAGGCCCGACAGTTTGAAGCTGCCCTTTCCGCCATCGTTCTGGTATTTTAATACATTGGTTTCTGGTGCTGGACCATGAGTTAATTTAATCAGCTTGCGTTTTAGATCCTTCACGTTTCGAGGTTATACCATCACCGCCCCTGACAACGTGGTGACGCACAGCAAGATTCAACTTTTGGGTACAGTACAATTATACCAACTCTAGTTTTAACAGAAAGTGTTCATTCGTTCAAAGGGCAAATGAACACTGCATTACTATTAGTATAATTTAAGTTCAAGTTCTGAAGTTCAAAATTATTCAACAAGGATACAAGTTTTGGAGGAAATTATGTACAGGATTGGTAATATTTGTATGGATTGGTAATTAAGAAGCTCCAACGTTAGAAACTGTCGGAAGGGTAGGAAGGGGGATGTTTGTGTGGACTTCGATTTATCGTTCCAACAGGAAAAAATAAAGAATACGTATATGTTTTGTACACAAAAAGGAAAAAGGAGACCCTGAAGAAGAAACGATTGCAACTTACAATATTCAAAAGTAAGAGCAATATAATATTTACGAATCGAAAAGGTTGCGAGGATGAAGACAAAAATTTTCAAAATATGTTTGCATTGAACCGCGATCTCAACTATTACGGCCATATTAAAGCAAGTAAAATTAAGAGTACTGAGATCATTCTCGAGCATTCGTGCGATCATCATACCGCTTACCTGTGATCATATTGAGTAAAGTTGTCTTGCCCGCGCCGTTGTGGCCAAGAAGCACGGTAATCTGGCTCTCGTAGACACGCATGGTCACATCTTGCACGGCCACCACACCATTGTAGTCCTGCGCCCATCGCGTAATAAGGGGTACGCATCTTAACACTGGAAATACCAAATCCCCTGAAAACATCCTACATCCAACGTCCCCAGCCACACTGACGTGTGTTTGTAGTGATCGCTACCGTCGAGAATATACAACACGTGTACAACGTCGTCACAAACAGTCATATATAAAGGTGGGTGTGGCTTGACGGATAAGTATATATCGCAGATTTCTCGATCAGCACTCGAACAAGAGAAATGCATCGATCTGCATTGAGGGACCCGTTTGTTACACTTGAAGGACACCTGCTTAGCTGTAGTAGAAGGGCAGGCAGGCAAGCGAAGCGTTGGCGAGAATTTTTCGTGCCCCTCAGGAATGAACAACCAAGGCCACTTTTACCTTGCAGGCGCCGACGAGTTGAATGGCAGCCAAAAGGTCTCCTGGCTCAGTTTCAAAGTTGTGGAGCTCTGGGCCCACTTTCGTTTGCCGCGGCAGGAACGTCATAGACGGCACCCAGTACTTAGACTGCAGACAAAAAGAACATCTGTGTAAGTACTCCACAGTGGATTTCTCTGAAGATTCCCACACGCACAGACTCTCCTAGTCCTAAGCTTGTTCTACAGCAGAGCATGAAAATTCTTTGTGCCATAGTATTCCTTCTTTGAGACGGATCAAGGAAAGGAAGCCATGGAATAAAAAATTTCGACAGCTTCGCGTAGTACAATGTTACCTCATAAAAACGTGAACTATGTATATATATATATATATATATATATATATATATATATATATATATATATATATATATATATATATATATATATATATATATATATATATATATATATATACATATATATATACCTCACGTTTTCTCACGTACTTTTCGCTACCGACATCGGTATCATCGACTGACGCCAAGGAAGGAAACGTCGGACGAACGCAGGAAAAAACGCTGTACGTAAAAAAAACGTCTTTGTGATGCCACTCCACGTCGTACGAACAGCTGCAAAACATCTCCTGCGAAATGCTAGTCTCGCTGTATCAAGGCGGGCTCGCATACGGGTCTAGACACAAGAAAAACGTGTTGGTGCGTGTGCCAGAAACGTTGCAGCTCAACACACATTCAACCATGTTTTCTACATTTAGTATCGTTCCTAAATCTCTTATTTTTACTTTGTATAACGGTCCAATGGGTTGCTATCGCTTTCATTGCTTCGGCATTGTACCTAAGATAAGCTGACTTTTCTTCCTCCACCGATAATGCGGCGGCGAGGCTGGGATTCAATCTCGCGATCTGCAGGTCAGCAGTGAGGCACCCTAGCCACTAGACAACATTGGTGAGATGTAGAAGCAGTACAAGCCACTAGGCCACAGTGGTGAGTTGTAGAAGCAGTAGAAGCCACTAGGCCACATTGGTGAGTTGTAGAAGCAGTAGAAGCCACTAGGCCACAGTGGTGAATTGTAGAAGCAGTACAAGCCACTAGGCCACAGTGGTGAGTTGTAGAACCAGTAGAAGCCACTAGGCCACAGTGGTGAGTTGTAGAAGCAGTAGAAGCCACTAGGCCACATTGGTGAGTTGTAGAAGCAGTAGAAGCCACTAGGCCACAGTGGTGAATCGTAGAAGCAGTATAAGCCACTAGGCCACAGTGGTGAGTTGTAGAAGCAGTAGAAGCCACTAGGCCACAGTGGTGAGTTGTAGAGGCAGTAGAAGCCACTAGGCCACATTGGTGAGTTGTAGAAGCAGTAGAAGCCACTAGGCCAAAGTGGTGAATTGTAGAAGCAGTATAAGCCACTAGGCCACAGTGGTGAGTTGTAGAAGCAGTAGAAGCCACTAGGCCACAGTGGTGAGTTGTAGAAGCAGTAGAAGCCACTAGGCCACAGTGGTGAGTTGTAGAAGCAGTAGAAGCCACCAGGCCACAGTGGTGAATTGTAGAAGCAGTATAAGCAACTAGGCCACAGTGGTGAGTTGTAGAAGCAGTAGAAGCCACTAGGCCACAGTGGTGAGTTGTAGAAGCAGTAGAAGCCACTAGGCCACATTGGTGAGTTGTAGAAGCAGTAGAAGCCACTAGGCCACAGTGGTGAATTGTAGAAGCAGTATAAGCCACTAGGCCACAGTGGTGAGTTGTAGAAGCAGTAGAAGCCACAAGGCCACAGTGGTGAGTTGTAGAGGCAGTAGAAGCCACAAGGCCACAGTGGTGAGTTGTAGAAGCAGTAGAAGTAGGGATACAGTCACCGCGAAAACTCACCTTGAAAGGGAACAGGTACGGCTTGGGTATGCCCGGTCCAGTAGGAAACACGTTGTCGAGGTACCACACGGTGATTACGATGGCGCAGTCGGTGAGGATTCCCACGAACAATATCTCAGCCAATGTCACGTTGTCGGGTGTGGCCGACCGGTCGAAGAAGTTCGACCAACTGGCGCCGTGTACAACTGGGCATTAGGAACAGACTCTGAGCTGCTTTCGAAGGAAACTGCCTATAGAAATAGGCTAAGGGCTTCGATGGAATACATGCAAGTATATACAGGTTTCACCACACATCTATTCCTTCTATGATAACGGTAATGCATGATCAAAAAAAGAATAGATAAAATTGTATCACCATTCCCGCGAGCTTCCGTTATTCGCAACCATTCGGGATTTCAGCCGATTTTAGTTGCGACAAGCGTAAGTGCAAAGCTTCGAGTAACCTGTTTTACCACTCTTGACGCATGCGACAAATTCCAGAGATCACATGTACCATAGCGGCGCAGGATATTTTTACGGGGGGCGGGGCGGGGGGGGGGGGGGGTTGAGGGGTCCCTCGACAAGCGAGTTCCTTCAGGGAGGGCAGAGAGGCTGAGAACATATGCGTCATGTCTGGACTAAGCTTGACCTTTGGGGGGAGGAGGCAAAGGGGGGCAGGTAAAAATTTGGTTGGGGGGAGGGGGGATGTCCCAGCCTTTTATATAACCTGGCGCCGCCCCTGGATCACACGCATTGTGGTAATCGAATTTAACGCGAAGCTCTCACCGTCGCCTTTGTTGTACTTCCATGGCTCTGAAATGAACCTCACGAGGTGGTTAAATGTATTTCTCTATATTGAGTGGTTGCATGCACGCAGTGGTGGCCACGTCGCTCTGATGTCAGTTCTCATTCACCCGCAAAGCCGAAAGTTTGTAAAGCGTTAGCAGAGGCTCGCATTGTAGTTTTTGGGTCGATTATAGCATAAAATGTCTCACATAAGCTACGGGGCCACCGTCACGAATCCCGTGAAGGGCTGGATAGATTTTGGCATGAAGAAGGCGAAGAAAGGGATTAAGTGACACCGGAACTGTGAAGTTGGAAGAGAAAGGTTGGAGGGGGGATTTTATACTTTAATGTCCCCCAACGTTGCCATTCTAAAGAAGGCTTCCATCATATCTCATACGTGGTTTACTCTGACGGGGATTGGGCGTCTGAATTCAAAGAACATATCAATAAGGATCTCTAATATGACAAATTGGGACGTCAGCCATGAAGTATAGAGTTGTTTTGTTTTGCGGTTATGTTTCAATACATCGGGTTTCCCACAAAAACAAAAACAAAATAAATAAAACAGTGTGTAAGATCACTTACGTCTGTGTAGTTTTGAATACAACGAGAGAACTAACTTGATGGCATAAGCGTTCACCAAGTAAAAACATATATGAAAATCATTTGTGGGCCGTGGGCCGCTCGTTAAAGGTCGGCGGGCTGCGGTTTCGAGACCTTTCCCATAGGTAGTAGTCAGGATACCTTCTATAGAGTGCATATGGCCAGCCGCTTCGGCTGCTCTTTTCTGCAGAGATATGCAAATATCAACGCCGTAATGATACCTAGCCTAACCACAGGTACCTGTGCTACAATTCAAGCATCAACGGAGGCCTACAGGTAACGCGAGATAACAGTCACAGAACAACAGCGTCCACAATCACGCACTCCAAGTGTGATTCGGAGTTTACGAGTGCTAATCGTACCGAATTTCTCGAATCGCTCGAGCACCCGGAAGCTCCAGTGCAGGCTCATGCCAGGAAAGATGGAAGTCAGAAGCTTGTCCCTGCGCCGTATGTAATAGTAGCCCTGGCCATCGGCGTGCTCCAGCGCCAGGAAGGGTATGACGCAGCTCAAAGTCCAGTAGAGTATGGCGCCGGCTACGGCCGATTGGGCTGCACGCAACGCCCCACATAGACTCGTGAAAGGACTCGTCGCAAGCGTATAGGTTGCGCTTCAAATTAATGAACCCGTGTCTATGTTCATATGAGCCAATTACGGCGGACACAAAATGCGACAGACTGTACTTTTCAACCGCCACGCATTACCACAACAGAAATATATCGCGTCTAGATGTTCAGAAGAAGCATGCACATTTGCTGTAAATCATCGACACAAGATGGCTCCACTGCAGCGGTAGAGTTGTCAACTTTGTCATTGACGGTTATCTTGCCGACCTTGGCGTAAACGTCAAGGTTGCCTACCAGGTTGCCTACTCCTGACCATTGGTATGAGCTCATGGGGGGGGGGGAAGAGGAAAGGAGGCAGCCCCCTTAATCACCTAATGTGAGGCGCAATGTCTATGCCACGCTGTTAGTAATAACTGTTGCATTATTGTTTAAAGAGGAAGGTTGAGGTCACGGTGTGGTTTTTGGCGATCATGGCGACAGAAGGCTGCTGATTCATTCCAAGACATGTACTCCTCCTATTTTTTTTTTATTTCTGGAAAGCTAAGGACCAAAAACAGGCCACTGTGAAAACCACATCACCGGTCCATATACTTGTTCTTGCTAACGCGTTGTGAAATATATCTTTTGGACTATAACAACGCAAGAGCGAGGGCGGGGGGTGGGTTGCGTTGCAATAAGACATTGCCCCCCCCCCTCACGTATGTTTCAACAACTCACGTATTTTTGTTGACTCAGTCATTATCTAACCATACTTGACCATGCGTTGCTATATAGCAGGGGCATCAAACTTGTCCCAGGCAGC